CGCTGTAGGGGGTCTGAGGCGGTCCAGTGGCCGCAAGACTAACACACGAGAGAGTGCTTCGAGTGCTATAGGGACTCCCACGGCTTCCAACCGACCTGGAGCGACGCAGACCACTCAATGAAGGCGTTGAAGATATTCGCTGGATTCGCTGGATCAGACGGTGTCGGCTTTTGCCCTTGACCGGCATGTCCGGCGCTGGCGCAGTGGATACGCCTTCTGAGCCCGGGCTCGGGCTCGGGCTCGGAGCGCCGGGCAGTGTTATCTCGTGGACCTCCATGACAAGAAATTCCAATTGTGTGGGAAGCGTGCTTGTATGCTCTTGTACTGTATAGAGAGCGAAACGCCTAGTATCACAGATGTCGTATGAAAGAGATGGACAGAATAACACTCGATGCTAACAATTGAAGATAATTGTCTGATTCAAGTCGGTCGATCTGTCTGTCTGTCTCTAGGTCGGTCGATAGTGGGGGGCGGCTTGGAGCCTTGCTCGCTGGTCGCTTACAGCTAATGCAGGGTCCTTTATTTCATCGCTGGCAGAGGAAGGATGTGTATCAATATGAGTCAGGAGCAAAACTGACGGACGAAAGTAGGAGAATAGTAGAATAGAAAAGAAATAAGTTCCAAAGTAAAAAATGTCGCGAAGAAGGATGGCAGAATAAATAAGCAGGGTCCAATGTTCTGCTGGGAAACCAAGGGGATCAGCAGACGAACGGGGGATTCGGAGAGGGTGGTGGGGGGGTGGTCAGCGGGGCCGTTTCGTCGTACTGGGCTTCTAACTTGCGGCAAGGAAGTTTCCAATAGAATCGAGTCTCGTTTCTTAGTTGAAGTTGGAGAACAGGGTACATGCCCGTGAGGAGATGAACATGACTGTGAGTATGAGGTGACCACCAGAGAAGAGAGATAAGGGAAAAGGAAGGGTTGAGAGAGAGGAGGGGATGGGAACACAAAATAAGTAAAGAAAAGCAATAAGGTGCCTCGTAGGCAGTTGAGGCTTTTGTCCAAAGATGGATGCTCTAGAACATTACCCGTCAGTCCAATAGTTACATCTACATACTGTCTAGATCCCATAGAGTTTTAGAGTACCAACCCAACCTGCCAACCCAACGTCTACAGTTAGACAGCCTAGACAGTCCATACACTCAGTACCTTACAGTACCTATAGTACACGACACTAGGTGCAGTTAGTCCGTTGAGGACCCTTCGTTCTCGGGCTCTGGGCTATGTCACGCTAAAAGCCTCTTCTTATCGTGCCCGTGCGGGCTACGGCGGGGTGATCGGCTTTACGCGACTCTCTATGGTGGCCCGGATGGCGAAATTCGGCGCCGTATCTTGTATCGATGTAGCCAACATTGTAGCCTTTCGGCGAATCCTGGTTGGAATGAGACTTTGAGACTACATCGAGGGCAAACACGAGGCTAGGTACTAGGTAGGTATTAAGAGCGAAAACACAAACATAAGAAAAGTAAAAGAACCCAAGTCCTCTTGGGCAGTACGTATGTGCTTAGGTACCCAGTCAGACAAGCTCGGATTCTGATTGCCAGAGACCCAACGGGACGGTGATCCGGAACGCAAGCCAATCACTACAGTGCACTACATACATACGTACTATTCTTTTCCCTGTCGCTTTCTTCAGGGGCTTTTTGAGGGTCTTGTTGGTGTGTAGCTCTCCCCACCTTCTCGCCCATCCTTCATGCATCTCACCCGAGCCAAACCAAACCCGGGGACAAGAAACAAGTCAGTTTCTCTCGTGTGTCCGCGTGGCACATTTTATCTCTCATTAAGACGTTTCTTACAAAATAACACTGAGGCCCATTGATTTCTCATGATAAGACTTTGAGTGTGAAACAATCATATCATATCCAGTCACAACCCTAGGGTGAGCTGTCTGGCTGTTCAACCAGGGTCTGAACTTGGTTAACTCATTATGTAGCAGAGTAGTTTGAGGCACAAAAGACCCATCATTACTTCAAAGGGCTACCCGCCGTTTCTCACCACATGTATGTATGTACCTTGCCTCTGACTACTGCACGTCGAACCCACGATGCAAAAACGTCCCTGACTCAAGGGTCCAGCCTCTATGAGCTGACTGCTTGCCCCGGACCAACCATGAAGAGTCAGCTTTCTCCGCATGTCCCTAAGTTGGTTCTGGAAGGCGGTCAGAACAAATGGATGGCGATTGAGGGAATATGTGCAGGCAGTTACATGCACAGCACAGTAGGTAGGTAGGCAGCTCAACAAAATTCATACATAGGTAAGGTAGATTAGCCTGTACGGCTTTCCAATAGTTCTACATCTTTGCTCGTCTACCTAGACCTTAACGTTAGTACTTACCTACCTAAGTACTAACTAATGGGTTCAACGTCTCAGTCTTGTTTCCTTCCTCTTTCAGCTTCGTCTGAAGGCAATAGACGGATAAATGGTCGCGAAAAGCCTGGGGAAGACCCCACTACCTTGGAAGAAAAGAATGAAGTGCGTGCCCTGCCCCTCATCTTCCAAGACTCCTTCCTATACCTTACTTACAGCTGACCCCGCGCTATTCGGGCTGTTATCACCCGATTTCTTATCGGTGCGATTTGGAGGCATCAGGTTGAGAATTAGGTACGCTACCTTATAGGATGGATGTCTCGGCATGATATACTTTGGGACCTTATTCTAAACGAGGGTTACTGCGGTTGTGCCGAAATGCACAATATCTCAGATCGTCCATGTGCCTCTTGGTAGGGCTGGCAGCACACCATTGAGGTCACCGGGTATCATTTCTGCCCGTCTCAGGTGGAAAGATAACAATACAGTGATCATCCGTTGTCTTGATAGGATATCGAGGGCGTCTATCAAAGCCATTACAATCGATGCAGTATTCTTTCATGCACGGTGTCTTGTCAGTTAGTGTCGCGTGGTTGCAGACCCCGGTATTGTGTGTGCCGTATATAAGACATGACTGTTGGCTGACCTCTTGAGCTGATCGTCTGACTCGGTCAGACATGAACTTTTCTGGTGAACCAGATTACGTGCTGATTATCTCGAATTACCGAAGCCAACAATAGCCAGTACCGCTGAAACCATTACACCCGTGTTTACATCGCAATCAATCCAAGCAGCCCGCAATCTGTAAGCATCAGATAGGTAATAAGCTTATGTTTATTAGCACCCTAGTCACTGTGAACACCGTACAAAGAAACATACAGCTTTTTTTTTCTTTCTTTCTCCATAGCACATTTGTTTAGGGGGGGCAGTTGTCGTGAACCCGATTCAGTTCAAGAGGCTCACGGACTTGGCAAGATGATAAGGTATTCGGACATATATATATCCATTTGCGGGGAATATCTCACCTCTCATCAAATTCCTCTCCACGTGGGCATCAAAACCAAAGGAAACATTTAGGTTCAAGTTTACTTATTTTGCTCCTCTGCCGTTTTGATGTGGCGTTGCTTGGATAAAGCTGCTTGGTTGGTGCATAAATCAAGAGGCAAATTCGCTGTCTTATAGATAGCAGACCTACGAGCAACATCTATCTACCAATCAGCATGGATCCAATGAAACTTCAACTTCGGGCAAGTTTGGAATCTTGGCTCTCAGTTACCATGGGTAACAAAAGGCGTGTATTCTTGGTTCTAAGGTGCTGGCCCCTTGATTCAAATGCCTCTTCCACTGACTTAGCCCTTGGTGCGTAGCAGAGTCATATTCAATTTCTATTTTTCTCACGTCTCGATTATTTCCTCATGTGCCTCGATTGCGAAGTCTTTTACAATGAGTAACTACCTATGGCTGATGGTTTCAGTAAGAGATTGAAGACCTGTATTGGATCGAATGGGGATAATAAACCTACAAGCAAGATTGTGGCGAACGAATTAATTGTCTCATATGAAAACAACTCCAACTGCGAACCCATAGTCTAGTTTGTTGACAATCTGACACTAAATGCGTTCTTTCATCTAGTAATACAATCTAAACTGAAATCGAATCTTGTTGAAGCCATAGAAATCAGAAAAAGGATGCTGGCGTTATTTGTCTGGTAGTAATGCGTACCTTATTATCACGGATACAGCAAATGCTCCGTATCGCAACCTACGGTTGAGCTTGAGCTTGTTACCTAAGGTAAGGTAGGTACCATGTACCTTAGCCCTGCTTCCAACGCTATGCTACCTCCACTGTATCTCGGGGGTTTTTCAGGGTCAAGCAAGCACTAAAGGTATCTATCACCAGGCAGTGGCTTCAATCCAACCCCTGCCAATCAGATTGTCTGATGACTTCACAAGTCTTGAGAGCAGCCTATGATAACGGCGCAAATCCCCGTCTTCTTCACGCTCCTCAACATCAATCTCTCAGGCTCCTCTGAAAGCTCCCATCTCGACAATCAAACTTTCTCCTGGTGGTAACAAAGTTTAACGTGCACCACCAACGTTCATCTATTTCCTTACCTATAATATTCTAAATCCTGCGGGGCAACGCCCAATTCGCCCTCTCGGCATTCCCTTCGACTCACGCTGACTGGGCTGTTTTCTTTGTGTTTTGGGTCACAAGCCAAGACATAGCCCTGGCAATACCGCTCCATCCCCATCCTTAACATTGACGGTCTCATCCGTCGTCACCCTTCAAGGCCCAATCTTGGAATATCGATAATTCAAATTATATCCATACGCATCTTGCTCTATCATCTATCCATTCTTTCTTGTATAAGCGAATTCCTCTCCTATCTGACGGCTGGCTCCAAGTTTTCAATCGACTTCCAGGCAATCGAGCCAACCGAGATTTCCTGCTCAACCCCGCCATCCTGGGAGCAGACCTCGTAACCGTTTCATCACGACTTGACCTGTGGTTTCGGCCTCTCCTTGGCCGACTCCAACTATGCTACAGATGCATGGAGGACAAAATGATCATGGTACTACCTGCTACCTGCCACCACTCTTGGTCTATGTCCTCCTGTCAGCTAACCAGGGTTTCTTGACACAGGAGCCGAAAATCACACTGGGGACGATGAACGTGGACGAGAGAAGCTGCCAATGCCCCTCTCGTTGCCAAAGAACCGTAGTACGGGAAACTTGGCTGCCGCAAGGAACTCTTCAGCTCAAGATCGAAGCAGAGCACGCATGTCCCTGGATGCGTCCGCGGCCGCGGCGGCTGCCGCTGACCTTGAAGCTATCGCCAGGTATGCTGAGTGAAATCATGCGTCACGGAGCCCAACTGTGGCGCCCACCCTCAGTCTGCTTCCTTGCTGACCACCATATCAACTCCAGGTCTCCCATCATGACCGATCACGAGCATGGCTTAGGCCTGTCCGGCCTTCGACGAATTAGACAGACACGCCCACCATCCAGGAACCCTACTTTACCAGGATCCCGAGCATCTTCGCGAAGCCCATCCGTTGCCGCTCTGTCTCGTTCCACTTCGATGAGTGCGATGGCTGCCAGCACCGGCAACTTGTCGCTCACTGGTGGTCCATCGAATCCCAGCTTCTCCGACGATCTTTCTCGCTTCCCCTCCGAGTCTTTGCATTCTTTCTCTTTCGCCAATCAGTCCGAGGACTTTTTGCATAACCGACAAAATGCCCTCAAACGGTCCGTTGAGTTCATGAAGGACCATATGGGTCTTCCTATGAACTCGTCGCAGGCTGCTCTTGCAAGTGCCCAGGCAAGAGTAAGTGGCGATGTCGAGACACAGAATATGCTTGACCTACTCGCACAGGCACAGCTAATTAGAGCTCCAAACTTGCCAAACCCCGACGATTCTTACGCCCCGGCTCCTCTGACCGGTCCCGCTGAGGTTCAGGAAAATGTCTTCGACAAGAATTTTGACCCTCGAGCATCCAGCACAAATCTCATCAGTCCTCGCCAGACATCGCCACCACCTCGACGGTCAAGGGTTGGGACAACAAGAAGATCCATTCCACTCGAGCCAGCAGCCTATGAGACTGTCCATGTTCAGGATCAACCAACTACAGCTTCTGCTAGTGGAGGTGGCACTTCAGGCTCGAAAACTACCCCAGTCCGTCCGACTCTGAGCCTCAAGCGAACAATGACAGATATAACGGCCGTGTCGGCTCAAGATAAGCTTATAGATACAGTTTCGCAGCCTTTCTTAAGTGGTCAGCCCATATATCAAGAACCATTAAACTCGCCATCCTTGGCCCAACTCCCCAGCGCCACAGCGACCAGTTTCCCCACCCAGTTAGGCCCTTCTGTACATGGACACACAAACCGCTGGGTACCCGCCGCTCAGGCGATCTTTACCACAGAAGTTAAACCTCCATGGACCATTATTGCAGCAAACGATCTCGCCTGTCTGGTATTTGGCGTTACAAAAGCTGAGGTGCGCAAGATGGGCATCTTGGAAGTTGTACAGGAGGAGAGAAGGTCATGGTTGGAACGAAAACTCTTGAAGCAAGCAGATGATGAGCTTAATGAAAGCCAAACGCCCTCGGGCCAAACAACGCCTGCCGCTTCAGCAGCTTCGGCACTGCTTAACGGGAGATCTGGAATAACAGCCCAGCTCCTAAGCAAGCCAAATTCGAGGACTCAGCCACGAAGTTACATACAAAGACGTGCACAAACGGTTCACAGCGGCGACCCAAGCCCGCCCAAGACCCGGGGCGGCGGGCATAATCAGACGAATTCCTCTAGAGGAGTGCTGCTATGCGGTGACGTGGTCCCCATTCAGAAACGCAACGGTGCGACCGGTTCTGCTAGTCTGTGGGTCAAAGAGAAGAAGGTCGGATTGATATGGGTTTTGGAAGAGATTCACGAGGACGTCGCCTACATCACCTTGGACGAGGACGGCATCGTTCAACAGGTCACCGGCTCTACTGCTCCCATCTGGGGGTTCGAGTCAATCCCTACTGGATTCGATATAGCAAGACTCGTTCCACGGATTCCCAGACAAGGGATTGACCCCAACACAGGAGAAATCGACTTTGCGCAGGTTTCAAGGCGGAGATACTTCACCTGTCCTCACTCACCCCAAGTCAATGTGCCTTGCACAGTTGAGCAAACCCGCGGCAAGCTAGAGCTTCGTGTTTCCACGTTCCCTCACATGGCTGGAATTGTCGTGGTAGAGCCAGAGGGGCTTAAGATCCGAAGCTCAAACGCAGCCTTTTGCGGTGCGCTCTTCGGGTTCGAAAAGGCCGATGGCATGTCGATAAATGCACTAATCCCAGAATTCGACAACATTCTGGGGTCACTGATAGAAGAGGATGGTATACAACTCCTCGATGGTATGGTTGTTTCTGAACATCGTTTCAGAAAAGCTTCGGCTTTCCTGGCCTTGAAAGAACATAGACCTGACGCTGCATCTGCTTTCCTCCATCCTGCAGGATTAAGCGCCAAACACCGAGACGGATCCGATCTGAAGGTTGACGTCCAGATGCGTGTAGTCAAGAGTGAAAAGAAGACCGTTGTGATGAACGAGACGGTCTTCGAAGGCAGCGATGAGGACAACGCCACCGGAGACGAAGCCTTCGAAGTGACCCATTCAGAAATAGTGTATGCTTTGTGGATTACTTATTCTCGCCATCTCCATGGCACTCAGCCTCATCTCGGGCTCGAAACCCCTGCCCGGGCTGGAGCTTTAACTCCTCTCCACCAGCCATCACCTGGCCAGACCCCTGCTCATACGCCTCTTGAGATTGCTTCAGATGATGAGGGGCCCCGAAAGAACGTGTTGATTGCTGCAAGTTCACTTTCCAAGCATTTAAAGGATGCCGCCATGAATGCTGCTGCTAAGATCACGGGGCAGCAACCAAAGCCCAAGCCTGAAGAGGCCACTCCAGTTCCCAGGGTCGTCGAGCCTGCCCATAAGAAAACGATCAACGACTATGTGATATTGGAGGAAATGGGCCAGGGTGCGTATGGCCAAGTGAAGCTAGCCCGGCACAAACAAACTGGCAAGAAGATTGTGCTCAAGTATGTTACCAAGCGACGTATTCTTGTCGATACGTGGACTAGAGACCGAAAGCTGGGCACTGTGCCCCTGGAAGTTCACGTCTTGGAGTACCTTCGCAAACCTGAGCTACTTCATCCCAACATCGTCGAGATGCAAGGATTCTTTGAGGATGACGTGAACTACTATATCGAGATGATTCCTCATGGTCTGCCAGGCATGGATCTCTTTGACTACATCGAACTCCGAACCAACATGGACGAGTCTGAATGCCGCAGCATTTTCGTACAAGTAGCCAATGCAATCCACCACCTCCACACCAAGGCTCGCGTGGTACATCGCGACATCAAGGATGAAAATGTAATCCTTGATGGAGAAGGCAACATCAAACTGATCGACTTTGGGAGTGCTGCATACATCAAGAGCGGTCCATTCGACGTCTTCGTAGGCACAATCGGTTAGTAACTCAGCCCGCCTATAGACATGTCATAATTTGCTGACTTGCTACCAGATTACGCCGCTCCTGAAGTTCTCGCTGGCAAGCCTTATCGGGGCACAGAGCAAGACGTTTGGGCATTAGGTATTCTCCTTTACACCATTATTTACAAGGAGAACCCATTCTACAGTATTGATGAAATCATGGACCGTGACCTGCGAATACCCTATATTCTGAGCGAGGAGAGTATCGACCTCATTCGATGCATGCTGGACCGAGATGTCGCTAAACGCTACGATATCAACCAGGTGCTGGAGCATCCTTGGTGCCAGGCTGCTGTTGAAGAATAAAACATGAAATTTTACAAGCCATTGAAACAATAAATCGTTATCAAGCCTTGTCAACGGGAAAGGAAGCCTTTCACCTGTCACTTGGTGACTCATTTGGTTACAATACCCCTTTTGGAAAGTCGAAGCCTTCTCATTTCCCCTTTGTTTTTTGCGTTAGAGATTATTGACACGGAGCGATCGAACGAAGATAGAAGAAACGTACGATACCTACTTTGGATACTAGGTGCTAGGCTGGGAAGGACAGGCGAACCCTTTTTTGGAACCTCCGGCGTGAAGGATACAATGGCCGGATTCTCGAGGAGCGGGGTAAATAGGACACGGAGTTGTTTCTTGGCTGTTGATTTTGCGAAACCTGCGGATAGAAGCGAAAGATAAAGGATATATTGTTTCCTCAACTGCATAAGCAATCCAAGTTAGACACACTCTTCATATTAAACTGTATATATGTCACAGATCTTATCCAGTAAATGAGATGTTCGGCGACAATTCCCGTTTGGTTGGCCCGTCGGCCGGGCCAACCTCCTTTGACTCTAAATGTCTAGATCATGAGCATCCTAACGATAACTCAACTCAGGGTTCGCTCTGAAGTTGCATCGGCATCGGCATTCAGGTACAGGGCACTCAACGTGTCTGGCAAACCACTGGCGGGCGTGGTCCAGATGCAAGACATGTTCGCATCGGAGGCAAAATGTAGGAAACTGACCAGCCATCTTCGACTCACTCTTCTCTTCTGGCTTGTCGGAACGAGGGACGCCCACGATCTCGAGACAGACCACACAACGCGGGAGGTGTCGACCGCAGTTGGGACAACTCACACCCGCATTGATGCTCGTCGCGAGAAGTGGGTTTCGAGACTCGAGAGCCGATGCTGCTTGCGCAGAAGAGGCACCTCCAAGATGCGGCGGCTGGTTGGCATTATTCGCGAGTGATGTCTCAGCGTCGCAGAAAACACAGCGGAGGGCAATTTGGCGTGATGGTGGTTTCAATTTGGGGATGCCGTCCCGTTTCGAACGCTTGGTTGACTCGACGTCAAACTTTGTGCGCTGGAAGAAGAGTTTATGGCGCTGAAGATGGGCACGGTAAGTGTTGCGCCAGGCTCGACAGCGAATGTCGTCTATGTATCTCGGTGCACAAATGGACAGCACGAGGGTCGCTGTCTGAACGTCATGAAACTTTTGGATGTAGCGGGCAAAAATATCAACCATGGGTTCTGTGATACCTGTGAGGACGATGCCTTCTATATCGCCGTCTGCTATCGCCAAGGTGATTTGCTTGTTGAGCCACTGTGTGAGCTGGTCATCGTCGAAGTTGCGAATTGCAACGTAAACTCGGTCAGAAAGGGGAAGAGATAGCTGGCTGGCTATAGCCGTCCAGTCACCTGTAGCAATCAGCGATGATATTGCTCGGAGGTAGGGGTCGGTTTTGGAAGCAACAGCTTCATCAAAATCAAGCTGTTCCTTGTTCTTGGCAGGCGTGCTGTCCCCGCTGCCCATAAGCTGTAGGGCCAAAGACACGAACAAGAGTTCAGGGTGCGCAGTGCTGGCTTTCTTAAGGATCTGTATGGCTTCCTTATGATCCCCTGTAAATAAAGCACGAGCTGCGGCCATGGTATGAATGGTGGTGGGGTACTCGGGATCTGCCTTTCGATTGCGGCCTTTTGGATCATGCTTTTCAGAATCACCCCAGCCGCAGATTTCGAGGCATAGCTGACGATGCGCTGGCCACTTGGTAGCTGCTCCGTTGAACTTGGGAAGATGGTTTTTTTTGCCGAAACTTGCAATGGTACGTTCCCATGTTGCACGATCAGGAGGCGTTGCGCCAGGAGGTAGTCGAGTAGAAGGATCACGGCCTATGGCAAGGTCAGCTGGGGTCTGGGCCATTTCCGCTTATTGTTATTCACCAAGATTATTTGTCCATATTGAGTGAACACCGACGTAGCTGAGGTCAATATTTGAGAGTATCATGCCTCCATCATCAGCGTTATCCTCAGCAGCTTCAAGATGTTAGTATGCCGTGAAGAAGAGTAATGTCCGGATACTTACTCGCCACCCAGTCCCATATATATTTCACCCACGGATCGTCGGCCACAATGTCTCTGTTTGCTACTGCGTCGAATAGGTATTTCTCTTTAGCACGTAACAACATATTGTGATCAAGTACGTTCTGTGCTTCTCGGGGGAGACCTTCAGCCTCAGCTAGTGAAGCCAACAATGCGTCGTGGATTTCTCGGCATGAGCCCAAGCTATCGGATGCTAGGGACATCTCACTGGTCTCGCTTTCGACGATCTTTGTGTCTCCAGCACGTGGCTTTATACCTTTTGGAGCTTGGAACTCGTCTCTTACGAAGGCGCGCAGGGCTCTTATCTTAGCTGCAACGGTGGAGGCTTTGTGAAAGGCTTCAGGAAGTGGCCTCGTGGTTGCCCCAATGTCCTCTATAACCACTGAAGTCATGTTATTTGCCTTCAGTAAGGCCTCCGTATCTGCCCGGACATTTGCACTCTCTGGTCCGAATAATGGCACTTCTGACAAAGCTTCTTCGATAAGAAGAGGTCCTAGCATGTCAGGAGCTTGGGATGGCTCAAACTGCATCACGCTGTGGTATGGGGCGCCCTCTATGCGGGGTTAGACATGTCCAAACCAACGGGGATCGGCTTGAATTACCTTCGAGACCGCGATGCGGTGCTTTCCATGGTACAAGTTTGTAAACATGATCTGATGTTTGCGATGGCTGTTCTAGGATTTCAAAGTTTCCATTGGCTCGTAAAACGAGGAGCCGTGGACGAAGGACGGGTGAGCTCAATGTCACCCAGTCAAAAGCAACAATGCGATCATTCTTCCTTGATGTTTCGACATATGAAACATCCATCTCATAAGATTTTTGAACTTGGAGAAGTTCCGGGTTGCTAGACCCAGAAGATGGGGCCTCTTTATTGGTGTTCAAGACCTTGAGCTGTCCCGTACGAGATAGCACAGCAAGCAAACCACGATGATCACGGCAATATCGAAGTGACCGAACAAGGGAATACTTTCCATCGGCCAAGAAAGGGTCAGAATCAGTCTCGATGACTCGGTCAAGACGCAATGCTCCACCCCACGGAAGTTCATCCTCCTCAATTGCTTGCATGTATGCATGAGAAGCCACGGGTCGAGATGTCGCTCGACGGTCCCAGATCATTACTCCAGGGTGGTCCAGGGCGGAAGAAGCAAAATAATTCTGATCAGCATAGTCGATTGTTAGATTGTTATTGCACTTTGTTTGAAATGTGACAATGCTTGAAGGGTCTGATAATAATTGAATATGTGTCAGTTTGCGCAAGAAATTCTCTTCATCTGCGAAACCTACCTCGAAGGTCATGTATTCGAAGACCCTGAGCCTTAATGCCCACAACAAGAGTTTGAGGGCTGTCTTCGAAGAACTTGATGCTCGACACAGAGACACTAGGTTCAAGGCGGGTTTTTGGTTCAGCAATGTTTGTGGCATCCGAGGGAAAACCTTTTGTGTTCTTGTCTATTGAAGACAATCGACTGACATCCCAGATGTGAAGGCATTGATCCATTCGCACTCTGTCCAGGCCAACTGCTAATAGTCCGGTTGTATTGAACGCGACGGCTTGACAAGTACGAGACATCTTGAGGCCCAGCTCCACGTACGCATTAGATCCATCGTCAATCCTGAGCAAATTCACAATGCCACTGCCCGTACCAACGGCAAGAAGGCCGGGATTGGTTGGCGACCAATCGTAGGTTGTGAGGGGAGGAAAGTCATCGTGGCGGGCGAGTTTCTGGTAGTCGAACTTCCCAGCTCTTGCATGACCAGTTGGTTCGTAGACCTGAACAACGCGGTGCTGCAGGTTGATATGAATGAAGTTATCATATGAAGGGTTGGACGACCATTTGACGAGCCCAGGTTCAGGGCGATCCATGATGAAGGAGAATTAGCCCAGTGACGGGCTTTTACATAAGCATCAATCAGTAGTTGGGCCTCCTGGTAATTGAGTTTATCTTGAATGAATCTTCAAGAAGAGAGGTTGGCGGCGCCTCTAGCTCAGAGATGAATTCTGGTGATGGATGAGTCGAGCGAACAAGGTCCGGGCCAGACTCTTGAGAACGGCTTGAAAATAAGTTTTAAGAAAATTTTTGATATCAGAGCTTCCCCTTTGGGCATTTGGATGCTATAGAAATTAAAGGAAAACGTTCTTGATATATAAAGAAGATAGTCGTTGGTATTGGATTCGATGGTGTCGAGCTTAGATGATGACCCTCTGTGCCAGGTGCCTCCCAGGAACACAGAGCACCTTCCCTTCCCCACAAGCCCGAGCGTCCGACGCTACCCCGAATCGAGACGTGCCTGATAAGATACCGTTGCAAGTCCGGACTAAGAAGTGCCTAGGTACTAAGGTAAGGTAAGGTTAGGTTAGGTAGGGGAAAAAAAAAAGTTGGCCATCTTTGTATGCAATTCTTCAGTAACTACCTATTGTTCAACCTGACCTTGGACCTCTTTTGAACATTCTCCTCGCAATCCCACCCCCTTCTCCTTTCATAATCCTCTCACGAGCCATATATCGTCACCATGGGGCAAAAGAGGGGATATTCGGAGATTGGGTCTCCCGAGCCTCGTAACCGTCCATCATTCAATGGTACAAAGAAGCACAAGTCGAGCAAGTCAAAGCATCGACCGAACGAGGGAACTTCAACGTGGGCCAAGAAGCGAACGCGTACTATCGAACGACTCCTGAACCGAAACCAAGAACTTCCCGCCAACGTACGCAATGATCTCGAGCGAGAGCTGGGCGCTCTCAAGGCAACAGTCTCAGACAAGAGCTTCCAGAAGCTACGAAGTGCTATGATATCGAAATATCACATGGTTCGGTTCTTTGGTAAGATCTTTTCTGGGCGTGATTCTCCGCTTCAAAAGAATGCTAACAAGTCGCGATTCAGAACGAAAGAAGGCATCGCGGTTAGCAAAACAGCTGCGCAAAAAGATTGAAGAGACCGAATCTACAGAAACGGACGAGATCGAGGCATTGGAGCGTGACTTGCATGTTGCCGAAGTAGACGAGGCGTACACACAACACTTTCCCCATGCTGAACCCTACATCAGCTTGTACACCAATGCCAAGCCAGAGAAGGAAGACGACGACAAAGACGACGACAAGCTTGACTACACACCGCTCAAGCATAGGGGCCTACTGCATACAGAGCGACCGCCAATATGGTCGGATATCGAACAGGCGATGAAGGGCGGCCCCCACGCGTTGCGTAATTTAAGAGAGAGACGGCCAACTGAGCTTACAGAAGAAGCACAGTCAGAGCGCCGCCAGAAAAAGCCCAAGGCAACGACTCCAGACGGGGCTCTCAAGACGCAGCCGAAACCACAGGCCACGAAGGAAAAGCCTGCACCTTTCACCAAGGTCAAGGGGAAAGCTGCTGTTGCTCCAAAGAACCGCAGAGAACGAAGATTACAGGAGCGTCAGGCTGCGCAGCCAGTCGTCAAGAGTGACGACGATGATAGCGACGAGGGTGGTTTCTTTGAAGAGGATTAAATACACCATGGGTAGGAGGTTAGAAGGGTGTGGCTGAACTAGAGAGAGTTTTTACATATTGCATTAGGTGTTGGTAGATACCCTGCGACGCTGATGGGTCAACCCATTGTATGGACCTACCTATCTATAGCATAACCGACACAATCAATCAAGCGTTGTTAAGTTTGGTTTTTCAGAGCCTAGTTCTATCTCAGGTCAGGTCATCCCTCTGTGTGTTTCGATTGGCGCACCTCCACTCTAGTTGGCCAGAAAAATAGACCCCTCACAGCCACTCTCACCACCTCACCAACTCCATGATCACATTGTAAGCGTTTCCTTCTCGAAATGATGCGGATTGAATGCGCATTTGACACGCACAGTAACCCGATCGATTCGGAAATAGCAGTTAAAGCCGGTCAATCTAAGCCGTTCTACCAATGAGATCTGGTGGCCTTCTTGGAAGCCTACTGTATGTATGTACTTCGCTTTTGCGATATTCCAAGAGGCATCCATCCACTCTTCACTAGGTACTTACCGCAAGGCCTCGCCTGGTCATGAATCACAGCTATAAATTGCAGAGCCAGCTCTCCACCTTTCTTCCCTTGCTTCATGTAATCAATCGAGCTCCTCACCTCCCCCAAACTTCTCCTCTCATCGTTTGACATTTCATCACGCTCCGCCTAACTACACCTTCGGTACCCAAACACTGCGTCGGCCAAAAACACACCCAAACCACAATGGCGTTTCACGGCCCTTCAACTGTCAGTGGTGGTATCCCTTGGGATGAACTCATAAAGTTCGCTGAGGAGAAAAAAGCCGAAGAAGCAGAGACGGGGCATCCGGCGCAGCTTAACAAGCAGCAGATCGCCGCCATCTCTCAACTCATCGAGCTTGTTCATGAGATTGAAGTGGAAGATTTCTGGGTTGGCGATTTGAATCGTGAGTTTCCCCGCCAAAAGTGAACGTCATCTTTAATATCAAATTCCTAACCATGATCATTTGCCAGAGTACTGTCAGCAGAACAAAATTCCAACTCCTCAGTTCACTCAAGAGACCTTCAATCAACAAGTCAACGGAATGCCTTTTCCTCGATCTCGTGTCTTCTGCAATCTTCCTTCTGAAAACATCAAGTTTCCCCAGGAGGGCCGTGGCTACGAGACTGGTCAACAGGTTCCGACGTTCAAAAAGGTTCAAAAAGCTAAGAACTTTGCTGCCATGCACGCACTCAAGTACCTCCGCATGGAAGATCCAGCACCTCGAGGCAGCAAGAGAGCCCCTCCAGGGTCACAAGAGTCTCCTGCGCATGCTAGGATCAAGATAGAGGAAGACAACTCGGATGGCGATCTCTCCATGGCTACATCTCTTCGTTCAGGCGCTCACGGCGTCTCAACTAGTACTCCATTGGCTTCTGCCACCACTCAGGGCCCTACCGTTCGTGAGCGTGTCGCTGGTCTCGGTGAGCGCATGGGCTTCGGTATTCCTGAGTACCATATCGAACAGGACAATGAACAAGAAGATACCTGGAAAGGGCGTCCTATTTTCAGGCATGATGGGCGGATTCCGGAGAATATGGGTGTTGTAGAAGGGATCGTGGGAAGACAGAAAGCTGAGATTTTGGTCGCGGAGAAGGTGCTTGAGTGGCTGGAGAAGGAAGAGAAGAACAGAGGCGACCAATATGCGAGCCTCATGGACTCGACCTCCTGAGCGCTGCTTTATGACTCACTTTCAGGTTTTGCCGCTTATGTAGGTTCGGGTTTCAAAGAGACTGAAAATCCGCAATGGATATGAATCTGAAGAAGAAGAAGAAGAAGAAGAAGAAGAAGCCCAACTTTATTAGGCTTGTTGCACCAAGTCTGAGCTAATTCTATTATTGGGTGCCGATGTCTTTAGGAGTTCTTTTGCTCCTAGCTAGGCGGTAGGGCGAATCGAGTTGATCAAAATGAAGAGTCAACTAAGCGGATGGTTGAATCATTGAATCAATCCTTTCTCCAGTGACGGTTACGTGTATCAAAATAGTCCTAGTATGCCGCCTTATCAAATCTCGTCTATGAAATAGGCGCTTTTGGGATGACTTCTGATGTCCACGAGGTCAACGTCTATCTCCCCTTCCTCCTCCTCCTCTTCCTCCACCCTGTCGAGGACCCTTTCCAAACGGGGGACTTATCTTCAGCCCAGCTGGTAGATCAGAAATCCACTGACCGTCTTGCCACAGTACCCCAACATCAACCTTGCGACCTGTCACCAACTTGAAGTACTTGGTGCTCAAAACCCCCTGTTCGTCGCCTTCCGTCAGCAACACTCCATTGTCACTCAGCCACCACTTCACGCCACCCTTCAAGCTTGCTTCAACGTCTATCTCGATAATCAGCTCTGCATCCTTACGCATCCCGCTAACGACGCCTTCCTCGGGCGTTCCAGTTGAGCAGTGGACATGATTACGACTCATGGGCTTGAGGCCGCCGGACTCGACAATGCGTGGCCAAAAGTAAAAGAAGGATCCGTGAAGGACACGCTCAGGGACGTTACCTCCCTCTAGTGTCATGGGCGCCAGAAGAGCTGCTGACTCAAGCTTGATGGAGTGGCCTTGGTTGGCACGGATGAGATAATCGGCCGGTGTGGTGGATTTAGTATCCAGGGAAGGGTTCTTGACGGTGTTGGGCTTGAGTGTAAACCGTTGCTTGTCGTTAGAATTGACAATGGACTGGATGTCATCAAACGTGACCTTTAAAGATCGCAAAGGGCCCCAGGCGAGCTGCATGAGAAAGTCAGCAAGTCTTGTCCGCAGGGGGAATATTCAAGGTGTGTTTGGATCCCCCCGTACCACAGCATCCAAGGGCGCATAGCCTTCATCATCGAGTTGAATGCCAGCATTAGCTGCTTGATGTCTCAGGAGCTTGGATAAGGCCTTCGACACCTGCACCTCTCTTCCATGACCTCCGCCGCCGCCTTTCCCTCGTCCCCTATCACCTCTTGATCTTGGGGGCCTATTCTGCATCTTGCCCTCAACATCGAAATGAGCCTCGTCAGCCATGATGCCGTGTTTGCGTTGTGCAAAAAAGTTGTGATGAAGTGGTTGATGTGCAGTGAAACAGTTCCGAAGTAGAAAACGTGGTTGGATGGAAGTCGAAAAGATGAGAGGGGAAATGCTTCTTTTTAATGTTTTAGGTGTTATGATAGAAGACATGAGTCGAAGTCCCTCCGATTAGTGACACTCACTTAAAGGTGTGAATTCTTGCGAGAGTCCAGTGGGGCCAACCGACCTTGTGGACGACATGCCTCACCCGCATCTCCCATTTCGGCCTGACTCAGCCTCTACGTTAGTTACCTAGAAGGGGTGCTACGTCTGCATCAACTTCATCCGTGTCCATGTAGCCCAACAGACCAATTGCAGCGAGAATAACATACCCATTGAGTCTTTTAACAGAATCAGATCCAGCAGGCACTCTAACATCAAGGTATTGCTTAAACTTTGGTGCTGCCACCACGTCAATGGCATGTATCCCTTTGTCTTCAACTCAAGGCTCTTACAACGACATCACCAAGGTCAAAGTCAAAGAAAGGGTAACAAAGAGCCGTCATACGCGACCAAGCCACATCATACATTAAAATAAATCGGTATCCACATGCTTATCCTGATGTCTTCTCGACTGCCAACTCGATACAAAACAGATATAAAGCCCAGGCTCTCTCTGTCTTGTTTCTTGCATGGTCGCTCCTCATGCGCCGTTTTCGGAAAGCAAACCTCCTCCCAAACACCATAGCACTGTCCTCCCTGCAAAGATGCTGTCCTGTCAAGCAAAATGAGCTTATCTATGGACAGTGTATGTACGTCAAACAAGAACGACAACGTAATTTGTCGTCCCCAACAATCGCCATGAATCATTCGGCCGAGCTGGATGGGAATCAATGGAGGGAATAAGAATAAGATGTTTCCCGTACAAACATAAAAGTATATAAATAGCAACGTCCGGCGCTCGAATCGTAATGTATAGGTAGTTGTACAGTCGTTAAATCAATCAAAGTCATTGGTCATTGGCATCATCTGTAGCTGCCAGCAGCTGCAGAAGGATTGGCGGACGCAATGCTGTCCCGTTTGGGTCTTCTGATCATACTGCTGGTCCGATTGACCATGGTTGTTTGCCCAAGAGAGGTGTAGCGTTGTGCACGCTCTTCGGCAAGTTTGTCGACAGCGCTATGACTGTGGTCTTGCTGTGCCGGTCTCTCCATGTATCTTCGAGGAGGTGTTGCTGTGTTGACTGATGGCGTCGCCAGCCTAGACACACCGAGGTTCGACGAAACAAAGCGCCGGCGCGGGATGGCAGATGTACTATCAGCTGACGGTGAGTATTGCTGCTGCTGCTGCTGTGACGTTTGATCCTGCGTCACAACTCGAATTGTACTGCCAAGCTCAGTAGGTGCTCGAGAAGGCGCTCGGAACCTTGATTCTTCCTCGCCCTCTTCGCCGACCGTGTTTCTACGGTTGCGGACGAATAAAGATGTTCTACGGCCTTCATCAGGCTCCTCAGTACCAGCTCTTCTGGTTCTTAGTAGGAGCGATGACTTCCTGCCTTCATCGGGTTCTTCGGTACCAGCACGGCGAGATCGAGAAACCAAAAGAGAAGAACGCCGATTCGAGATCGGCTCGATCGGTGTCGATGGTATCGAGTTGGACACACGTGATGTAGTAGGTAGAGAACTACCATTAAGAATATTGAGTCTTCTCTCTTCAAATTTGGACAGAGTCCTGGGGCTGGTAAGATGTTCCTTGGCGGCACTCTGATCGTTTCTCCCAATGCTCTGTCGACGTTGAGAAAAGCCACTAAAGCTTTTGCCAATCGTCGGTGTAGTGGGCGCGTCAATCTGAGCAGGTGGTGGGACTTCAATTGACTGCCGCGGTATACGTGTCTGGGTAGCGTCCTCGCCCAATGCGAGGCAAAGCTCTGTTAAGCTGCGACACACACTCTCAGCCTTTCGTCTCAGTTGGCGATCAGTAACAGTTGCGTTAGAGCCTATCGTGCTGG